TAAATAAATAAATAAAARGGGCTGAGGATATAGCTGAATGGTAAAGGGCCCCTGGGTTCAATCCCCAGTACCAACATAAATAACAGTAAGTAAATAACAGATGAGGAAATCTGTATCAAAAGAAATCTAAGACAAATGTCAATCAAATCAACATGTGGTCTACATTTGGATCTTGCCAAAAGCCCACTTTGAAACAACCAAATAAACTCAAACACTGACAGGATGTCTAATGGTGTTAAGATATTACTGCTAAGTTTTTTTGGGTGTGAAAATAGTAATTTTGTAATGTTAAAAAAATAAAAAGAGACTCTATACTTAGAGATACATGTGGAAACATTTCTACATGAAACAATATGATGCCTGAGACTTACTTTGAAACAATCCAGCCAGTGTGTGTATTGGGAGAGGTATAGATGAGCAGCTGTGTGTTGATAGCCACTGGAGCTGATGATGGGGGTTCCCTATTCTCCACTTTGTATATACTTGAAAGTTTCCATGATAAAATGTTAAATAAAAAGCAAAACCACACATAAACATGTGAGATAAAACTGAATAAAGAGCAAGAGAATAAGTAAACCACCAACAAACCACAAAATGGGATGTTAAAGCTGAAGTACAGGATGAGGGGGCATCTTGGTGGAGAGAGCAAGGGATAAAATGGGTTGGAGGAACACATTGGAAACAGAGGGAGATAGCATGGGGTCATGGATTAGTAGGTGTTGAGAAGATAAAAAGAAAGAAAAGGGGGAACAGGAAAAGACTGGAGAGCGAGCCCCGGACCAGGGGACTCCCTGGCTGCAGAGGGCAGGCTGCTCTGGCTCACCTTGCTGTCAGAGTCTACGCGCTCATCCACAGAGTAGGAGTCATAGTAGAGACTGAAGTCGTCGCCTACCACTGTCTCCCACTCCTCCAGGGACCTGGGGTTCCCCTTCTCCAGGGTCACTTCTCCTGAACCCCGGGCAGAACCCAATTCCTCTGACTAGAAAAAGATCAGAAAACTTGAGGCTACAGGCATCTTCCATCAATCCCCCACTTCTCTTTTCCCTCCTTTTTTTCTTTGCAGTGCTGGGGATCGAACTCAGGGCCTTGTGCATGCTAGGCAAGTGCTCTACCACTGAGCTACATTCCAACCCTTCACCCCCATTTCTCTTGAGGACAGGCTATAGCCCCAATTTCTAGGATCCTTAGGAACAGCCCCCCAGATGGAGAGACCCTGCTCCCTCCCTCTAGCTCACCAGGCCATTTCCAGAGTTCAGCTTCCTTCTTTTGGCCACATCTGTAATGAAAAAAAGAGTAAAACCTGTACTGTACACCCCAGGGATGGGCCACATCAAATCACGGAGGTGAGGGGGGGGTCAGGAAGGGCACTGACCTGAAGTCACCTTCCCCAGAGAATGCACGTCATCACTCATACGAAAATGTTGTACTTCAGGAGGCCGTTTCTCGGGGACTGGGGGCTGGGGCGAGAGGAAACAGGCTTAGGATTGGAGTGAACCTGCTGCTTTGCCTGAGTTAGCTTGGAGCTCAAGTTCAGTGGGGCATGGTGAACCACTCCTCCAAAATTAAGCTCCAGAAACCAGTAAGTGGCAAAAACAAGAACTGCTGTTTTCCAAGAGGAGGTGTGTGAAAACACAAACTCAGGAGGTTAAAAGGTCTCTGCCCACCTACAGTCACAGCAGCAGTATCCATAACAACTAAGATGTGAAAGCAACACAGGTGTCCATTTTTTTTTTGGGGGGGGTGGGGGTGCCAGGGATTAAACTCAAGGGCACTCAAACACTTAGCTATATCCCCAGACCTTTTTTTGTATTTTTTATTTAGAAACAGGGTCTCACTGTGTTGCTTAGCGCCTCGCTTTTGCTGAAGCTGGCTTTGAACTTGCGCTCCTCCTGCCTCAGCTTCCTAAGCCAATGGGATTATAGGCATGTACCACCAGGCCTGGCCTCAGGTGTCCACCGAGTGATAAATGGACAAAGTAAAATGTGGTTCACAAAGTCAGCCTTCTGTATCTTCAAGTTCCACAAACTGAAGCCAAAAGATATTTGAAAAAAATTTTGCCTATACCGAACATGCAGTTTTTTTTGTCATTACATTATAATGTAATAACTATTTATGAAGCACTTAAGTTGTACTAAAAATAACCCAGAGCTGACTTAAAGGATGATATGTATACCTTAGAAGCAAATACTAAATTGTTTTATGTAAAGGACCTAAGCATTCAGGGACTTTTGCATCAATAAGGGGGCTTGGAATAAATCCCCCTCGGGATATCGAGGGATAATATGTATGAACAACAGAATATTATTCAGTCTTAAAAAGGGAGGAAATTCTGACACATATGACAACATGGAGGAATCTTGGAAACATTATGCTAAATGAAATGAGCCAGTCACAAAAAGAAAAATACTGAATAAGTGTACAGGTATAAGGTGGTTAAGAGTAATGACACTCTTAGAATAGTGGTTGCCAAGGGCTGGGGGAGGAGGGAATGGGGAGTTATTGTTTAATGGACATGTAGTTTTAAGTTTTACAGGGTAAAAAGGGTTATGAAGATTGATGGTTACACATTATGAATATTAACACCATTAAATTGTCCACTTAAAATGGATTATAAGGCAATTTTTATGTTATTTTTGGAATTCCGGGAGTCCTTAACCTTGTCATAGCCAGGAAAGGGGCACACACCTATAATCACAACTACTCAAGAGGCGGAAGCAGGAGGATCACAAGTTTGAGACCAGCCTGGGCAATTTAGCAAGCCTCTGTCTCAAAATTTAAAAAAATGGATAGGCATATAGCTCTGAGCTAGAATGTTACTGGGTTTAATCTTGAGTAACACAAAAACAAACAAGACCACCCCCCCAAAAAAATAATACCCCCAATCYAAAAAGCCCACCTTGTTGTAAACCTTCTAGGATTTGGGGACCCTTTTCACTTTCCTCTTCTGACATTTCTGTGGCCCTCATCTCCTTCTCAGGATAGATTCCCAGTAAAGACTTTATAAATAAACAGAGCTTGTGTATGTATGTATGTATGTGTATGTGTTTGTGTGTGTGGGGGTATAGAACAGGCAATTCCAAGAAGGGATGAAAAACCTCCTGCAGGACTTGCTTTCAAGTAGAAAAGTAGAGAGGTTGGAAGTTCCTTTACATAGTCATTATCATAAAAAGTAATTAGGATATAAACTATATAAATAAATCTTCAGCATGCCTCTTTTCTATTCTTACCACCCTTCCCCCAAGAATACAAACTCCAGGAAGAGAGAATCAGTCAGATTAAGCCCAGCCCAACCTAATATTTAACACATAGCAGCCCTTTGGTAAATCTGTGAAAACCCGAAGGGGCCTGAAGCTAAACTATATTAACAACAAGAACAACAACAACAACAACAAAAAACAAAACACACCTTTACCATGGATAACCTCATTTCCTCCCACTTCCACTCCATCCCCTCATCCTTACCTGTCCATTTCCTGGTTTGGACATGGTTTTCCTGGCTCGATGTACCTTGGGCTGTCCCTCTGGGCTGGTGGTGGCTGGAGGGGGTTCAGGCCCTGCTGCTGCAGTTCCCTGGGCCCCTGGCATACTCAGTAGCCTCATAGCCAAGCTCTGGACTGATGGGGGCGATTTCCCTGCCCCTGTCATTGACATTTTGGCCCGACTGGGACAAGCACCTCCCTTGCTGGGGGATGAGGGGAATGACTTTGTGGCATGGCCTAGAAAAAGAGACAGGGAGATAGGCAGAGGCAAGATAAGAAGGCAGCAGAGTCATAGAACCCCACCCTCACTCCCTGACTCTCCTTCCTCTCACCCAGCAGAATTCGGCCCCCATCTCCCTCCAGGTTCTCGGGTTCATCCCCAATGAGTGGTGTAGCTCCTACAGGGGTGTCAGCCCCCTCATCACCAACAGTAACAGTGACAGAGGCCGGAGATGAGGGGCCAGCAGGTTCCAGGGAGTCGGTGTTGGCCTTGGGCAGGGTGTCCTCACTATGAGAGGTGTCCCCCAAAGAGCCAAGAACTGTAGGGAAGAGAAAAAGTTCAGGGCTGAGGACTCTGGGGATCCTCTGTCAGTAAAGTGAAGGGCTAATTKGGCCCTTTTCCACCCCACTCACCTCTTTCGGTGGCTCCTCTGGGCTCCTTCTCCAGCAGCAGTGCCCCCATCTCAGCGGGGGCCTCCCCCTGGGAGGGGAGACAAGGGACAGGGGGACTGGTCAGCCCGGTAGGGAGTTGGGGGGCCCAGGACGCTTGGGCCCTGGGAAGAGAGAGTAGGCTCCGGGGCCTACCTCTTCCTCTATGGGGGCCCCCTCTTCCTCGGCCTCGGCTGCCCGGAGGGGCCGCACGACCCCTCCCCCGGGCCCGCATCAGCCCCCGCCCTCTCGGTAGACCCCGCATCTCTGGGGCCGAGAGGAGAGGAGGGGGAGGGGGCGGGGCCTCAGCGCCCCGGCCCCGCCCCCTCCTCCCGGCTGCACGCGCCGCTCCCCCTTTGTCCCCCAGGCCGCGGGGACCCCGGGCACCAACCCCTCCAGCGCCCGCTGCCCCCCAGCCCGGTGGACGGCCCCTCGTGCCCCTCGCGCGTGCTCCCGGAGCCCCGGCGCCCGCCGCCCACTCAGGGGCAGCCGGCGGCTGCACGCGCGCCTCCGTGCCCACTCCCCCCACCTCCCACCCCCTGGTCCCCTCATCCGCCCCCGGTGTTGGCCCCCTGGATTGCTGCAAGTCCCGCCCGGGCCCCCCGGCCCCGTTGCACCCCCGGAGCATTGCACGGGCGCGCGCTTCCCCCGGGCGCGCGCGCGGGCATGCACCCGCCTCTCCCCCTCCCCTTCCGCACCTCGGCGGCCGCCGCCGCTGCAGCTCCCGCCGCCGCCGCCATCGCCGCTTGCGCGGGGGGCCGAGCCGGCGCGCGGCCGCCCCGGGTCACGTGGGCGAGGGAGGGGGGGCGAGGAGGAGGCTTAAAGGAGCCGCTACGAGCATTCTAGCCATTTTCCCCTGAGAGCGGCCTCGGAGATGGCAGTGGCTGTCCTAAACTGGGGACTGCGGGTCTGAATTCCTGTCTTTCCCAGCCTCAGCTCTGCAGAGAACTAAGGGTGAGGCAAGTCWGGATCCAGGTGTGGCTTCTCTATCCTCACTTGTAAAAGCAGAGTGTCTGTCCCTCCTGGCTTTCGGATTCTCTTGTGCTTCTCCTGACTCTGATTGCTTTTCTGTATTTTCTAGTTCTGGGCGACCTGATAGAAGGCTCGGCCTCATTTGGTCCTCGCCTGTCTATCGAGCAAGAAGGGAGCGTTAGGGACATGCGGAGGACACCTATACTATTGGCTGGCTCTAGCAGGCTGCTTCATGCCCCTTGGAGCGGCGTTCCCTTTTGAAAACCTGGGGCTAAATGTCTCTTCTGCTTATGCCAGGCGTGTTCCGCCACCATATGCGCTAGAGATCCAGGTAAACCCGGCGGCCCGAGAGAGTGACTACTGTAAGTAATCATTTTTCCTAAAGAATAGAGGCACTCCGTGGGTCATAGCTTAACTGACAGTTTATGTATGAATGGCACACACCAAGATACACAACTCTGATTTAGAGCGCCATCCCGGAAGGCATTACATCTTAGTCAAAGTTTGGAAATAAATGTATGGTTTCAAACAGTATTTGACACAGGCAGGTAGTTAAGGTATGGGGTATCTGAGGCCAATTCCAGGCCTTCTGGGAACTGTAGTTCTCTGGTTAAGAACTTTCCAGAGCTTTCTGGGAAATGTAGTTTTCCCCACATCCTATGCAAGTTTAGTGGGTTTTTAGTTTTCCCCAAGACATGAACCATTTCCTCCAGACAAAAATGCCAAAACACAGATGTGTATTTGCAATTTCAGTGGGTATAGCCACCTGCAGCCCATTCTTGGTACTGATACCAAATCCAGCAGGTCGGGGAACAACTTGTGTATCACTACAGATGACAGTCACTTGTGCTATGAGGTATCTGGCTATAAGTTGAGGTTGCAGAACTGGAGGAGTGTATCTTCCTGGCCAGAGGTGCTCATTTGTCACAATCTATGTCCTGTGTAAAACTGGGATCCTTTGGGCATGGGACCTGTGTGAATTTGTGACTTTTGGTTACTGAGCACACAACATCAAAGAGAGAGGCTGTCTAGGGTGGACAGTTATATACACGCAGTTGCCAGAGTATAAAGAAAAAAAAAATTTATTTCGTGGAAAACAAAGCAGAAAAACTAAAACCCCAACTCCAGAAAAAATCCTAAAAAATACGTTTTTTTCTTAAAAAATACTGTATAAGTCTCTACTCCTCTTCCTCCCCGCTAACAGCCCTCCTTGTGTCCTTTTCCTATGTGCCCTGCCCCCCACCCCCTCCACTATTCATTGTTCTTGCTATTGTATCCCYACTTCCCAATATCTACCCAGGATGCTCACCTTAGTTTTTTACCTGGCACCTTACTTTGTTCTTCAATTTTGGTGAGCCTTGTACCCACAGTCCCATTTCCCCAGCATGCAAGAACTGTCTCCCCTGTTCCTTTTCTGGATTCAGTAACCGTTTCCCCTTACCACTCCCTCTCCCAAGATCTATTCTAAACAGGAGCAAGTAAATTGCCTCCTGCCAAATACCCTCCCAATTCCCACCCACCCACCCCTACCTCAACGAATGTTGGAAACTTCTCCTGGGCAGCCTTAGCCAGGAAAAAAACATTTTCCAGTCTTTGCTTTTCCTTATTGTATAGGACCCTTCCCCTCCCTCCACATATCCATGCACCTCTACAAGAAATCTTTCTTTGGGACCCTATATTCCCTTGGTCTTGTCAAAGAACCCTGTCCCCAGCTCCATCCTTTTCTTCTGCTGACAGGCAGGGTCTTCTTTCCAAGGAATCTCCTCCCTCCCTCCCTCGGGATGTGTCTGCCCCAGATTCCCCACCCCCCAATTCTCCTGGGCTTAAAACCCCTCTTCCCACCCAGCCCAGGGACCCCAGCCTCCTGGCCTCCACGCTGGCTCCGCTAGTTAGCGGATGAGGACGTTGATCTCAGCCACGCTGGCCTCCAGCACGTTCTCCGCAGTGGTCTTGCCGTGCTGTTCCTTGAGGTGCCGCCTAATGGCAGGCTTGTGGGCAAAGCGCACATCGCAGTAGGAGCAGCGATAGGGCCGCGCTCCCGAGTGCAGATTGAGGTGGTCGTGCAGTGTAGACTTCTGTGTGAAGCACTTGCCGCAGATGCCGCACGAGTGCGACTTGACGCCACGGTGCACGTTCATGTGGCGGTTGAGGTTGCTGCTGTGGTTGAACTGCTTGCCGCAGCGCGGGCACATGAAGATGAAGTGCTGCGCACGCATGTGGAAGACCAGCTTCTCCACGCCCTGGAACACTTCCGGGCACTTGGTGCACTTGATGTTCTTCAAGGGGTTTCCACCTGAGAAACCCCCTGGCAAGGGACCCCGGCTGCCCCCTGCCCCAAGGCTGCCCCCCGCCCCCCGGGCAGCCATGGCCACCGCTGCCGCTTCCACTAGGCCCGAGGTGGCCCCCACACTGGCCCGGCCTCCTGGGATCAACAGCAGGCCCTCCCCTTCTGCGTCCTCCGACAGGCTGTAGCAGGCCTTCACCACACCTTGTGGTGGGGCTACAGTGCTGGGGGCCACGCTACTCTGGGCCAACTCCCCAAGGTGGCTGCTTACAGAGCTCCCAATACCCAGACCCCCTCCCAGGCCTCCAGGGGGTTTGAGCCGGTGCGCCACCTCGAGGGCAGACTCCACCTTGACGATGCAGATGTCTGACACGTCCTCATCTTCGTCCTCATCCTCCTCTTCGGCCTTCAGCTCCAGGTCTTCATCAAGAGGGAACTCCAGCTTCACTGGCCGCAGGAGCGGAGGGGGTAGAGGAGGTGGGGGTGGGGGCTTAGGGGCTGGCTTTGGGGTCCTGGCTGGAGGGAGGAGGGACTTGGTGGCACTGACACTGCTCACGAGGCTAGCCTCACTGACCCCGTCCTCTTTAAGGCCTATTTTGGGCTCAATAAACTGGCTGAGGGCGTTCCGGCATTTCTCCACCACGTGCTCCATTTGTAGGTAGGAGGCAGCCGTTAGGTAGTTGACGATGTCCCTGACTGCGAACTCGAGGGCACCAGTGTAGCAGGAAAGGAGCAGATCGGCTACGATGCGTGCACTGTGCATCAACGAGACCTGCAGCTCAGAGCTGGGATTCAGTAAGAACTGGTCTCGTAGGAATGGCGAGCAGGCAGCCAGGATGACCTTGTGGCCACGGAACTTGAGGCTGTCGGCCACAATGGTCACGTCGCAGAACCGCTCCTCTGCGCGGAGCTGGTTCATGTTCCGTAGCGTAGCAGCCTCGTGGCCCGGCAGCTGGAAGCGCAGGACTTCCACCCCAGAGGCCATTGTGGCGGGAGTGGGCAACCCTGGTTGGGAAGGAAACCGGTCAGAGACAAAGGTCTCTGGCTCTCCGAAGCCAGGGGTCCAGGCCTCTCGCTCCCATTCTTGCTCGGCACCCCCAGCATCCAATCTCCCAGTCTTCAAGCCTTTTCCTCAGTTTCCCCGAACCCCCGGGAGGCGCTGGCCCTGGGAGAGGAGGGAGGCGTGGTTCCTGGGGGCGGGGCAGCGGTCCACACCCCCCAGACCGGCGGCCCGCGACCCAGGGGCTAGCCCACGCGCCCACAGGGGAAGGACGAAGAAAGGGGGACAGAATCCTGGGGCTCTGGACTCTAGGGTGACCAGGGTTGCACGCTCTTCTCACCCCGCCCCCTTTATCCGTTGCCTCCTTCCCTCTATCCCCCTTTACACGTCCTTCCCCGCCGCCTGCACGCATCGTGCACGCCCCCCTCCCACGCTCAGAGCTCCGTGGCACGCCCCCCCCACCAGCCCACGACCCTGAGTGCACGCGTCTCTCACCTGGCCGAGTTCCGCGCGCTGTTTTTTTTTCCCCCCTATTTCCCCCACCCCCCCGGGGCCGGCAGCGCCCCCCACACACACGGGCAGGGCCTGGGCAGCGCGCAGGCGCGGGGGGTGAACGGGGCGCGCGCGCGGGGCCGGCTCCGCGTGGGCGTAAGGGGGGAGGGGCGGGGGCAGCTCGTGCCGTGTGTTCCAGGCCCCGCGCTCGGCGGCGTCGGCGAGGACTCAGGGAGGAGGAAGAGGGGAGGGAATTAAAGGAGCAGGATCCCCCCCTTCCCGACCCCCCTTTCTCCACTGGCACCCCCRCGCGGTTAAAGGGCCGGACAGCCGTGCCTCCCCTTTGGCCAGGATTATTTGTCCGCCAGAGCGGAAATACGTTCCACACCCCCCTCTTTTCTTGCTCCCCCTCCTCTCTGCCTCTCGGGCCCGCGGCCCATCTGCGCGTGCGTGCCAAGTGCCGCGCAGAGGCCCGCTTGTTCGGGCCCGCCCCCCGCTCCCGGCGGCCCGCGCTCGCTCCGCGCCCCCGCGCGCCCCTCCTGCTCCGCGCCCCCCCAGAGCGCGCGCTTGTGTCCCGGCTCTTCCTGGGCGGCTCTGCCACCTGCTCCCTAGGGGTGGTACACTCCCGTCCAGCTGTGCAGAGTGAGGCCCCGGGTACAGCGACAACTCCTCCCAGAGGTTCAGGCCAGCCCACGGCTATCAGTGCTTTTGGGTCGCTGTTGCCCTCGTGTGCATCATGAGTATGTGCATAGTTCTCCCAATCACACTTCCAGACTTTTCCAAGTCTTCTGAAGCTAGTAATCATCTCATCCTTCCTGGCCTAAAAGATGATTTCATTTCCCACAAAGCCAGATAATCCAGTACTCTCAGCTTTTCCCCATTTCAGGTCACAGATCACACCCGCCCTCCCCTCCATTTTCATAACTGAAATTATCTCCGTGCTGTCGACGACCTTGCCCAGTTCACCTTTACTATATAGGCAACCATAGAGGACTAATTCTTCTAATTATGCTATTGTTTATATTAGTATGAGTCTACTGTCGTTCCTCTGCACGAGTTCCTCCGATCCTTAGCCTCTTCTCCAGATGCTCCACTGCCTTAAACAAAACCTCCCCTCAGTTCTGCAGCTGGCCTTCTCTTCCTTTGGCACAGCTTCACCATCAGCACATTTTGTTCCTTTATTTAATTGTAGACGGACACAATATCTTTGTTTTTATATTTATTTTCTTGTGGTGCTGAGGACTGAGCCCAGGACCTCACGCGTGTGAGGCAAGCGCTCTACCACTGAGCTACAATATTTTTTAGTTGTCAACTAATATTTTTTAGTTGTCAATGGACCTTTATTTTATTTATATGTGATGTCCAGAATCGAACGCAGTGCCTTACACATGCTAAGCTAGCAGTCTACCACTGAGCTACAACTCCAGCCCCCACCGTCAACACTTATCAGTGCTTTGAAAGCTGTCCTCAACCACCCSTCTTTCTTATATCCACAATACCTACACTCACTTTCTCAACTAACTCCATGTGAAGACTTCTTACCAATTGCACTTATTACATCATCCAGGAGTTTAGCCGGTGGCCAGCACAGGCTTCATAGGTGAAGGGAGAAATCCAAAGGGAGTTTGAATTACCTTTAAACCAGCTCCAGGACAGCTTCTGTACCCCCAGCCTCAAGCTACCTATTAGAGTAGCGAGGTTTACTGAAGAGGCTAGCAAGAGAGAGAACACACCAGGGAGTGGACTTTTATTGGGTAACAAAAATTCTGGGGAAAATCCCTTCCAATGAAGATTAAGGGGGCCAGTGTTCCAAGGTCAGGTGAGACCATTGGGTTTTCAGGGGTTGTGGTCAGGCACGCCTTTACACAGACAAGCCCTCGACCTGAGAAGGGTGGGGAAAGTTCTGGACACAAAGATGTGTCTAAGGGCCTCTGGCCTCTCGCCCAGCCAGGGAGGTAACTCACGTTGCCTCCCACATAGGAGAGAAGCACATTTTCCTTACATCTTAATTCTGATGTTTTTACATAAAGTACTCAATATCTGGTTTCCCCATGAGATGGTAAACTTCTTGATTATGAAAATTATGTTGTGAGTTATGTTTTGCAAATGAAAGTCATGCAATAAATGACTGGCTGTTGAAGTCATTCCTCTTCAGCTCAGCCAGCATCCACCCAAAGAAAGTTTATTCTTGATTTAAACTGCACACCCAAATTTAAGGGATGCTGTTTGAAGGTGCAGGCAGTGTTCAGATAATGTCTTGGCTTTTTGCCCTTTAAAATTCTCTGCCTTTTATGCCCCTGCCCAGTTCTCTCTATTCTAAAATAACCCCTTTGCAGAAATCTTATTTGTAGTCAGGTTAGTGGATTAAAGGAAGAACATATGCTTATGAACCTTGGCTCAAAGCCATATTCCACTCTATACTATGCAAGGGCTCTGGGCAAGTTACTTTATGCTCTCACAGTATCTTTATTTTTGAACTGAAGGTCCTAATTGCTCACAGGGCCAATGTAAAGTTTAAGTAAGCCTGGCATACAGTAGGTGCTGAATGAACAGTAGCTCTTTTCCGCTTTGCTACTTGGGAAACAGACTAACATTTTCTTTTTTGTGGTACTAGGGATTAAACCCAGGGCCTCAGGCACTTTAGCCAAGTGCTCTACCATTGCACTATATTCCAAGTCACCTCCCCTGCCTTTTTTTTTTTTTTTTTTTTTTTTTTTTGAGACATGGTCTGTCACTGGATTGGGTCCAAGGAGCTACCCTGGAAGGGGAAAAGGGGACCTCAAGTGAGCCCTGGCAGGTTCTTGACAGAAAGGAACTTCAGGACAAGTTAAAAAAAGGCATAAGCAAAGACTTATTAAGAAAGCAAGGGGATTTATTTAGGACAACACACAATAGAGCAGGCTACACAGTCAAAGGGAGAGGGAGTCAAAAACAAAAGGAAGAGAGTGTGGACGCTTGAGATTGAGATGTGTTTTGGGGGTTTTAGGCTTCTTATTTTCCTTCTACTCTATACCCCCCCCCCCATTAGGGAATTGAACCCAGAGGCACTTTACCACTGAGTTATATCCCAGATCTTTTTATTTTTTCTTTTAAGACAGTATCTCATCAAATTGCTCAGTCTGGCTTTGAACTTGTCATCCTTCTACTTCAGCCTTTTGA